TCAGAGACTGGGATTTGGGTTCTGCTTAAACCAGAATTCTCTTTAAAATGATAGGCTTTAAAATTATGAGTCACTGTATAGAATGTAGTTGTCTTCTTTTAAAATATAGTAGAAAGAAGAAGTCACTGAGGGAAGCATTCTTAAACCTGATGTTTTCACCCCTAGCTGGCACATAGAGATGTCAGGTACAGTTAACAAAAAAGGGAAGATTTCTGTTGGGAACCAGGAGGAGGTAACCATGGGACAGAGCAGAGGAGACATCAGCAGAAAACAATGAAGCTCTCACTTCCAAGACAGCTTGCCACTATGTGAGGCTGAGGCTAGTCTCCCAGCCTGGTCCCCTCATTACCTTAGAAGGAGCCCCTACCTCAGCACCATAGCTTCTTCACCATATTCCTTTGAGGGAAATGAAACTATGATAGATGAATGTGGAATTGGCAGAGAAAATAGGGAATCAGGCATTAAGAAGGATGTGACCTTCAGATGAAAATGGAAGTTAAATAAATGCTACTACACAAAGAGTATTAAAATACTTTAATACTCTAAACACAGTACTATTTTCTGAGATACTCATTACTAGCCTGTAAAGTGCCACATCTAATAAAAAAAGATGTGTGTGTTACTAGATTTCATGATTATAGTCATTCTAGCTAGGGTGAGATGGAATCTCAATGTCTTGATTTGCATTTCTGATATGGCTAGAGAAGTTAATGGCTATAATCAAGAAATCTAGTAATGACAAATGCTGGAGCAGAGGTGGCCAAAAGGGAACCCTATTGCATGGTTGGTGGGAGTATAAAGTTGTTCATTCACTTTGGAAAGCACTATGGAGGTTCCTCAAATGACTCCATATAGAGCTCCCCTATTACCTAGCAACCCCACTTATGGGCATTTACTCAAATGATCACAAACAAGGTCATACCAAAGCACAACCATGTTTATCGCAGCATTATTCACCATGGCTAAGATATGGAACCAACCTAGATGCCCCTCAGCATCAAGAAATGTTATATATGTACGTACGTATGTATGTATGTACATATGTATGTACGTATGTATATATACTGGAATTCTATGCCTCCATCAGAAAGAATGACATTGCCTCAAAAAATTATATTATGTGAAATAAGCCACACCCAAAGAAACATAGGTCTCATGGTTTCCTTTGTTTGCAATGACTAGTACATGTCTAGGCAAGCAGAGAAGTTCAAAGGCCATGTACACATGACCATAAAAGATGATGTTAACGGAATTGTATCTCAAGACAGTGCACAAGTATTTTTTTTCTTACTTGCTATTGTTTTCAATGTAATTATAATGCACTATGTGCTTCTTTTGTTTCTTTTGTTTGTTCTTCCCCCATGGTATCAACCCTGTATTCACTGTATTTCACCCCAATATTCTGCATTTTGAACATACATTTTTTTTTGTAATCTGGGGAGGCAGGGGATATAACAGAATGCTTAAATGGGGATGCAAGTTGACCCATTGTGATGATGAGGTGTACAGGACACTTGGTTGAAAACAAACTTGACAATGTTGGGGGAAGAGGAGTTGGGGAGGTGGGGAGGGAAGGGATGGTAAGGGAAAAACAAAGGAGGAGGTAACATTCCTTGATAGGTAATGTACTCATTCCCCTACTCATATAACTGTAACCCCTCTGTACTATATTTTTAAAAATATATATGTATATATAAATATATGTATATATATGTATATATGTATATGTATATATATATATATATATATATATATATATATATATATATATGATATTGTGGCTGGTTACCCATAACTTAAGCCAGTAATTCTAACTACTCAAGAGGCTGAGATCTGAGGATAGAGTTTCAAAGCCAGCCTGGGCAGGAAGGTCATTGAGACTCTTATCTCCAATTTAACCACCAGAAATCCAGAAGTGGGGCTATAGATCAAGGGATAGAGCGCTCATTTGATTTAAAAAACTCAGGGACACCACCTAGACCCAGAGTTCAAGCCCCATGACCGAACCTTCAAAAACATTGAGTGTGATCAATCTTTAGGCATTTCCTTGTGATTGTAAATGCACAGTCTCAATGTACTCCAAGCTCTCTGCAAATGGTCTTCCTTCCCCAGCATTCAGCATGCAGGAATTATAGGCATGCAGAATTATAACCAACTTGAAATATTGCTTTCACAGAATTAATATGTCCTATTAGAATCACATTCTAGGAAAAGGACAGGTTGGATTCCCACTGAATGAGTGTGTAAGTTTTAAAGTTTTAAAGATTAACTTGTCAGTTAGTAAATATAAATAATTTGACATGAGTAATTATAACTAATTTGAACCCTAACTGACATACGTTCTTTTGCATTTCTTTTAATCCTTTAGCAAAACTGCAGTGGAAACAAAACAAGTACCTCTAAGTGGATTAACAATTAAAATGTAAGATAAAATTTAAATTGTGTGTGTTTGTGTGTGTGTGTGTGTGTGTGTGTGTGTGTGTGTGTTTGACATGAGCAAACAGAGAACACTGCAGTGGCATCCAAGTGAACACAGATTTCCTTCAATACTGTTCAGACAGGAGATATGTAACAACTCAATTAGGTGTCTAGCACAGGCAAGGTCCAATCCCCAAAACAGTGAAGGAGAAAGAGAAAGGGAAAAGAAAAGGGAAGATGTGGAAGAAGAAGGAAAAGAAGAAAAGAAGGTGGAAGACGTGGAGGAAGGAGTAGAAGGCCAGTGCAGGAAGAGGACAAGAGGGAGGAGGGAAGAGGGGAAGCAGATATTGGTGAGAGAATCATCATTCCTACAATTTGCCACTTAGTTACGGCATGTGGACTCTCTGAGGGAGAAGATTATTTTTGAAAAACATTTCATTCTCTTTACCTGTACAAAGAGGTCTCAATTCAGTTACATTATTCAGAGGTAACAGGATGTAGGAAGAAACAGTTTTCTGAAAGCCTTCAGCAGAAAACAATGAAACTAAGACTCCTAGGAGACATTATCCCACCAAACTGCTTCTCCCATGGTGCTTCTACCACACCACGTGAGAGCCTCAATTCTACCCTCTTCAGCAGATTGGATGGAGCTCCTGCCTCACAGCTATGGTTTCTGAACCCTAACTGAGAGCAGAAAGGACAGGTTTAAGGTGATGGTGAGGAATGGAGGAATGATGAAAGAATCAGGAATCTAGGCAGATTGAGAGGGGTCATACCTCCAAAGTGCAGCTGATCGAAAGGACTAATCACTGTTGCCACTGTCCTTTGATTTGGTTGTGAACACCACAAGCGTGAGTCTTGAGTTTTCTTACTTTATCATTAATAGTTTTTTTTAATTAAAAATAACAAGTTTCAAACCAGGTGGAGGTTGAGATGTAAGTATTGTGTTTTAAAGCCAGACCTGCCTACGAAGTTCATGAGCCTCCTATCTCCAATTAACCTGCAAAGTCTGGGAAATGGAACTGTGGCTTGTATGGTAGAGCTTGAGCCTCGAGCAAAGAATTCAGAGACAGTGCCAGGGCCCTGAATTCAAGCCGTCTCTGGGAAGACATTCTCAAGAGACCAGCTCTGAGACCAGCTCCATCAAGACTGAGGAAGGGACTGAGGCTTGGGACACCTGCCTCACACAGTGGCATTACTGTGTTACAGTGAGGAACACTTGTAGCATTCAGTTTTCTGCTGGAAGTCACCTCTGCTTCCTGCATACTGATACCTTATGCTCGCTTCAATGGGATTGTCTTTCTTGAGCCAACTCAAGGACAGTCTCATATCAAATCAAGTGATAAAAGTCGAGGAGATAGGAGGTTCACACAATGACTCCTTTTATTGTTTGTTTGGTTTTGCCCCTATATATTTTTGGCCACTAGTTTGCTCGTGCATACTAGACACCTCAATGAGCTGTTACTTCTTTTCTCACTCAAGTAAGGAGACAGACTGTGGGCATTAGTGTCTCATGCCTATAATTCTAAGTACTCTTGAGATCTGAAGGTCATGGTTCAAACCTAGCCTCGGCAGGAAAGTCAAGGAAATTCTTATTTCCGGTTAACTTCCAGCCTTGATTGGAGAAGCTAAGGGAGAGCAGCCAGGCCTTAAAATCAAGCCTCAGTAGCACCAACACAAAAACACAAAAAGAAAGACATATGCCTCCCTAGCACAAAGACAAACACAGGTTTTAAGTGCAAGGATGGAAAAAGAAATTCCAAGAATGCAACCCAAATATAAGAAGATGTCAAGGTACTCCTATCTTTCAAGGACAACTTGAAGATCAGATGACATAAAAGTTACTTCATGTTGCCAAAGGACAATGTAATGATAGAAAACAAAAAGGCACCTAAGCATCAATGCACCCAATTTCATGCAACAAACACCACTGAACATAAATGAGTAGATGGACCCCAATCATTTTAGACCCTTCCTAAATCCACAAGGAAATCAAAATCTAAAATCAACAAGGAAACCTGATTTCAGTAATGACATAGAACAAATGGAAGAAGACACCTGCAGGATATTTCACTCAACACGCACAGAATAAATATCATCTAGCAACCCATGAAGCGTTTTCCAAAAGAAATAGTATGGACATAGGGGCAGTAGTGTCCTCTTTTTTCATTTTCTTTTCTTTCTCTATTAGTACTATAGAGTAATTATACAAAAGAGTTTCTTTGTAGAGTATAAAGGAAGTCTTAATAAGTACGCATAAGAAAAGATTCTATTACTGCATGTCATCATACCACAGTGGAATTCAACTAGAAATAGACAGCAAGATAAACTACAGAAAAAGTTGAAATACGTGGAGATCGAGCAAAACACTTTTGAATGATTCGTGTGTTAGTGAAGAAAGGAGGAATATGTAATCAAGTCTAGAAAATCTTGAAAATGTCTGACAATATGCTTTGTTTTCATCCTTTAGTGATATACCATTTGATCCCACAACAGGACTTGAGGAAGGAAACAGCAATGAAAGGTGAGCTCTAAATACACATACACTCTCACCTATGTGATTTATATACATAGCTATATGTATGTCAATACAGACACACAAGAAAGCATATTCAAAAGAAAAGAAAGTTATTGAGATTAAAGAACTTTATTGGAAGTATTGATGACAATGCAGGGTCTTTGTGATTTTTTCTAAGATTCTTTTGCTGTAATATCTCTATTTTAGCTGTCTGAAAAGAGAACTGTTAAGAATGCATGTTACTCCTAACTTATTGTAGTACCCAAAACAATGTGATGCTTTGATGGAAGCCTCAGCAGAGTAAGAAACTGCTCTCCAGTGGCTCCACCTATAGGATAAAACAAGGTATTACTTGCCAGGCTCTTTCTCTTTTGATAAATGAGAAAAGGCTGGATATTAGGGGATTTTTTTTTTCTTTCTGGAACTGGGGCTTGAACTCAGGGCCTGAGGCTCTGTTCTTGAGCTTCTTTTTGCTCAAGGCTAGCATTCTACTACTTGAGCCACAGTGCTACTTCCAGCTTTTTCTGTTTCTCTGGCACTGAGGAATCCAACCCAGGGTGACATGCATGCTAGGCAAGCACTCTAGCACTGAAACCACATTCTCAGCCCAGACTTTTTAACTTGAAACATGTTTCACTAAAATATCTTACCTTTAAGGTATGTTTGCAGCCTGAAACAAAATTCTGTCTAATTATATGCTGGATGTCAATGTCAAGAGATGATTATTAAAAGACACGAAATTTACTTCCCATGTTCATCCCTGATGTCTCTCATTTCATTGCTGTAAGAACTACGCTGGCCAAGCTATAATGACTTGCCCAGGATGCCAGTTGTTCCTGGAAGAACTGGCATTGGTAGACAGCTCCCTCATACCATATGTGCTTCGTTTAGTTGTTGACTTAAAGTCTTCTTTTACCATTAAGTCAGGGTAATAATTTTATGTCCAAGGAAAATATTACAAAAGAGCCAAACCTTGGTGTGTGTGTGTGTGTGTGTGTGTGTGTGTGTGTGTGTGTGTTTAAGAGGGAGAAAAGAGAGAGAGTTGTTACCACATATATTCTGGATGCGAAGGTGAAAATCTCATAAATCAGAAATGTACACACTTCAGGTATTCATGGAAACCACCTAACTGTAAAACTGCTGAAGACTGTCCTTTTACTATTTTATTAATGTCCTTTTAAATTGATAGTATAAAGGCCTTGCTTTTGGCTATACTCATACTACATGCTAGAGAAACAAAATATGATTGATTTTATGTTTACTAATTTTTTACAGCAGCTACATCAAGAAAATTGCAAATCGAATTGTGTCATCAATAGCATTCAGGTATTCAGCATACTTCAGAAATAAAACATGTACATGACATTTAGCATCACTATTTGAAGGGAAAAGCATCTGAGAAAGTCAAAACAGAACAAAACCAATTTCTACTGTCAAGATGATGAAAACTAACCTATGTGCCCCTTCATAATAGAATCCAACTTACCTTGGAAAACTGAGTTCAACTAGTCTTCAAACTTGCAAAGAAATGACATTTCACCAAGTCTATGTAATGGCATATTGCTATGTTTTTCCTACTTATAAAAATAAGTTGGGCACAGGTGGCTCATATCTGCAATCCTAGGTGAGATCTGAGGGACACCATTCAAAGCCATCCTGAGCAGGAATGTCTCTAACAAATTGCACAGAAAAGGCCAGAACTGGCACTGTGGCTCAAGTGGTAGAGTGCTAGCCTTGAGCAAAAGAAGCTCAGGGACAGTGCCTAGGATCAAAATTCAATCTCCAGGGCCAGAAAAAGAAAGAAAGACAGAGGGAAAGACAGAAGGAAGCAAGGAAGCCAGGAAGGCAGGAAGGAAGGAAAGAAGGAAAAAAGGAAGGAAGGAAGGAAAGAAGAAAAAAAGGAAGGAAGGAAGGTGACAGAGACAAAGCAACCAAGAAAGGAAGAAAGAGAGAGAGAAAGAAAGAAAGAGAGAGACAAAGTAAGGAATGAAAGAAGGAAGAAAGGAAGAAAGGAAGGAAGGAAAGAAGGAAGGAAGGAATAACACAAGACAGAACAATGAATTTTAAATTTGGATGTATAGGGTACATTCTATTAAGTCCCTTTAACATGTAATTAATTCTGGAACATGCTACTTAGGCTTCCTCTCTACATGAGAAAATGATTTTATATTGTGCTTTACACTACTAAAAATTAATAATATTTTAATTTGACTTTCTAACAATACCTTGAAACCTATTCAATTCATTCCTTGATTATATAGTAAATAATACAATCTGCTAATTTGAAGTTTGCTTAACATATGTGAGAGAAAGACTTCAAAGTACTTAAGAGTGCAATTCCATAAATATTTATGGAACTGAATTCTTTTTCCTGTGCCCATTCCTGTACGTAGAAATATATAATCACCTACTAGTTGAAAACCTCATCAATAAAAGTCTTACACTCAAAGTGGAGTTTAATAGGTTTGTGGCCTCAAGATTGCTGGACAAGCGTTCTACTACCACAATCAGTCTTCTAACCCTTCTTACTTTGGTTATTTTTGAGATAAAGTTCCACTCTTTGCTCTGACTGGCCTGGCCTTTAATCCTTGGAAGTCACCTCACTGAGCTAGCAGAAAGAACAGGCACAGATCATCACACCTGGCTTGTCTTGTTGAAATAGGCTTTGAGAATTTCTTTACTTGGGCTAGCTTTGACCTGTGATCCTCCTAAGTCTCATGAGTAGCTACCATTACAGCCGTGCAGCACCGCACCCATCCCAAGTGGTCCTTCAGGGACTTAGGTCAGTCATGCCTTCACTGAGGTTTAACTATTATATTCTGAAGCAATTACTGATACATGCATCTTGAGAAATTCTCAAAGTTAAAGCGATTACACTGACAGGCTTGTCATTTTATTTCCACTTTGTTCTAACTTGCAGTGTTATTTGGAGGTACCTATATAACATGAAGTATATTGATTTGGTGGGAATGTTATTCACTCATCAATGCTTTTGTTGGATAAAAACCAAGTCATTTTTGGACATTCCTATGTACTATCCTCCTTCCTACCACTGGCCATCATAATCTTAAATAATAACATTTTCCCATCTGACCTGGCTTTAATAATTGTGAAACTGTAAGGAAAACTCTATTTATGTCTCTATTTACTTCAGGCTCTTGGGACTATTGCTCATTTTTGTTGATCTTGCATTGATGGTTACGGATATTGCAGTCACTTCAAGCAAGCTTTATATTCCTTTGGAATATAGAAGCATCTCCTTTGTGATTGCTCTCTATTTTCTTGTGGACATTCTTCTTCAAGTCTATGTAAAAGGGTAAGTTTTATTCTTTTCTTGAGCCTAAATCCAAATTGTGCTCTTATAACCCTACGCTGTTTCTTCAACCAAGTAGCTCAGGCCCACTCTTCCCCTTAACTGTGTTCTGTAAACTCCTATTAAACTCCTTGCTTTAACACTAAAAATATTAAAAATACTACAGTAATTAGCAGGTCCACCCAACCAAATGTGCACCTTTTCAACATTATTCTTGGAGTCATGGTCCAAATCCAAGTTCTCATTGACCAGCTTTAATCTGGTTTATATTGCAACAGACTCTCCCCTGGTCTATTTTAGAAAGTACCCAACAGTTAAAGCTTAAAGGATTTTGAAAGGGGCTAAGAAATTAATTAATGTGTCAACATGTACACTAAGCAGGAGGAACATGTATGTGAGGTCTCTTTATTCGTAACTTCATTGTGACTTGAATTTCCACTAAGATTTGATGGTATATGAAATACTAGATACTAGATCCTGCATAATCCCAAATTCATTAAAAGGCAAACTTTTGAAACCATCTAGAGGTGATCTGGGGAATGCTTATCTCATTAGTGAGATGTGGTATAGCAGGACAGTAATTGCTTTTTCCCTTTCCTGCTTGCTGGATTTCTGAGAAGGTGGGGATGTGAGACAAGCCTTAGAGATAGGCTGCTGTGGGAGTCAGGGACTGGACCTCCTAGCCTTCCTTTCTCCAGATCTTTTCAGAAGGCAGTTTGTGTTCTTTCCCTGACGACTTGTTCTCCTTATGCTTTTGAGCTAAGGAAAGTGATTCAGTGCCAGGATAGTCAGAGCCTGCAAAAGGCTGCCCCAAAGTGAGAGGATGCTTTCCCTGGAGGACTATGCTCACCTGTGCAGGAGCCAGTCTTGGAAAGGAGCATGTGGCAGATGCAAGTCTGTCTTTCTTCCAGTAGCCCTTCGGAATGCAGGATGGGTGCAAGGCCAGATCATGAGTTCACAAGAGCCGCTCCTACCCCTCTCATAAGCTCCTCATATACTCAGAGCCTACTGCTCTAAGGATATTATGAGGAACTGAGCTCAACAGAAATGTACACTTGCACTTTTCTTCTCCCAACTACATAGGGGAAGGCAGTGCATGTCTCTTGTCCAGTACTGTGGGTAGATCACTTACTAAGTTTCAATTGCCATATTCTAGGCAAGTGTGTAATAAATACAAATTTACTACTTGAAAACTTTCCACAAATATTATATTTTACCATCATCTAATCTAGACAATGCATTTAAAGAATCTAGTAGAGTACCGATTTTAATGAAGTGGAATCCAGGAAATTTTTTGTTCCTAAGATTTTCCTTTATCCTCTTGGAGAAGATAACCATTTTTATTCTCTTTTACAGGAACAAGCATTATTTTTCTGACATACTTAACATCTTAGATGCCATCATCATAGGAATCATTCTACTTATCGATGTCACATACATATTCTTTTATGCTGGATTTTTTAAAGATATTCAAAGGTAGGGAACATAACTGCCAGCTTTCCTTTCTTAAATTTGGTTTCTTTATTTTTATTTTTCTTGTCTTTAATTCTGTATATTGAACAGTTTACTGCTTAAATTCGGTACTTAATAATCTCTTTGAAATGAAATATTTAGAGATGGTACATAGATTGAATGGTAGAGGCCTGCTTAGCAAGTGTGAGGACCTGAGTTCAAATGACAGTACCACAAAACATGAAAAAAAAGGAAAATGTTGTTACATTTTCATACCCTGGGAAACCTAAGGATGACAGCATTTAGTTTACGGCCAGGAAAAGATGTATTCACTAAAGTACCTTCACTTGGATACTGAAGATGGAGCATCATTTTGAAACTCTCCCAAAATTCCCCTTTGTGTTTCAACTACAAACTCATTACTCTTGAAGCTCTACCAATCTGAGCATTTCCATAATCATGAGTGTATTGACATGAACATGTGTAAAGTTTGAGTGACTCCAGTCCTAATTCTCTAAAAAGTAGGAACTGGAAACCAGGAGAGTGACATATACGGCAACCCAAAGTATGAATTTTGCAGTGTGATTCTGGTTAAAAATGAAGAATTTTAAGGCAAAGTTAAAGCAGGAAGGTATTAGATAGTGAAATTTTAGTGGATGAGGGGTTGATGTCTGTCTGCCTGTCTCTCTGTCTCTGTCACTGTCTCTCTAGAAATGAGATAGAAAAGTACAAATGTATATTTGTAGATTGATGTTAGGGGTCTTTTAGCTGTATCAGTAGAAGTCAAAGAAGTAGATTCCTTTTTACCTTACTTTCCCAGAGCTCCAATGTGATCCCCAAGTAAATATGTAATGTGATAGGCTTGAGAGCTTGAAAATAACCTCAGTCATTAGGGTTCTCCAATGGGCCACCTCAACATCACTTGTTGTCATGCAAGAAAACACTCTGGGCTCCACCCTTGGCCACTGGGACTTGCAACCTGTGGTTTAACCACTCCTCCCAGATGACTCTTGTTTGTACATGTCCACACCAGCCAATATGCTCGGGAACTATCTCAGTCTGTTGCCTGCCTGATATGCATGGAGTAGCTGTAGGGAAGCTACTGATGTTACTGAAGGAGAAACACAAGTATACAAGAAACTAGTTCATTTGGGGGGAAAAATAAAATGTGCTCATCTTAAACTCGTATATTTAGTCTACAAATTCCAATGGGTTTATTACTGTTTCTCTAGATTGTAATTTCTCAACTTGAGTATATTTGTATTTTAGACAAGACAAATGTTTACTGCGGCAACGGACGGGAGGGAAAAAATTCTCAAAATCTTCCTCAATTTCCATTAGCAGCATTCCTAGATCTGATTAGCATCTGCATCCACTTGGTTGTAACAACTAAAAGTATGTCCACATGTTACCAAATGTCCTCTGGGCATAGGAGTAGAGCTGACTTGTAGAGCACTAGTGTAGCCTGCGAAAGCCATGGTGTGGATGAATAGCAACACATAAAGACATAAGTATTTAACTTCCACATGGAGGAACTCTTCTATTTCTGAACTAAAAAGGAATCTTTTCAACTTTATCTATAAATTTATTTAGAATGTCTGTGTTCTTTCGACTACTGAGGCTTGTAACACTTATGCGAATATTCCATCTTGCCAATCAGAAAAGACATCTAGAAAGAGTAATCAGAAGACTGGTAAGTGGGCAGATCATGGTTTCTTCCTATACACGTAAGACTTTTCCATAGCAATATAAAAATTTTTCTGGTTATATTTCTGTTTTTACAGATTAATCATTTTTGTTTTAATTACCAGGTGTCTGGTAACAAGCGTCGATATGAAAAGGATGGATTTGATCTAGATCTCACCTATATCACTGGTTTGTGAAACTTTAACTGTTGATTTACTTATATTAATTATATTACTGGTTTTTGAAGTTTAACACATGGTTGATTTACATTCATTTCACATTTTAATTAGCAGTAATTATATTCTTTTTGAAAGTTGTCCCAAACTACAATATTTATATCTAAGCCCTGTTGGTTTGTGCTTTTGGTTTTTGATTTGTTGCTTTTTTTTTTTTTTTTTTTGGTGGTACTGGGTAGTGAACTCAGAGCCTTGTGCTTGCCAGAAAGGTACTCTACCACTCAGGACACACTACTAGTAATGGTTATTGCTGTATGTCCCAGCTTTTCTAAGCAAAATTCTTCTACTCCTATGCCATTAATTGAGATGAAGTCTGCAACGTTCTCCTGATTTTTGCCTCCCAAGTAGTTGAACTTTCAAGCCTCAGCCAACATGCCTACACTTTTTCCATTCACTATATGCCCTTCTTGTGCTTTCTCTTCCTTTCTTTGCCTTTTTCTTTCTTTCTCTCTCACTCTCTCTCTTCCTTCCTTTCTTTCTTTACTTCTCTCCTTCCTTCCTTCCCATTCTCTTTCTAAATAGTCTTTCTCTATGATGACACAGACTACTGTGTTAGGGTAATATATCGGTAAGTTACCTCTGGACACAAAAATCTCATGCATTTCTAAACAAGACTACTTGGTGTCTACAGAAGAGGTGGCACAGATGTTTCAGGTGGCTTCATTGGCATTTCATTTAGAATTTCTTCCATTTCAAGCATCCAATAGAGGCCTTGTCTTCTCATATCCTAGAGAATGCGGTCACTACTCATCAGCTCAGGTTTGCTGAGCTAAGAGGGCTACAAAGCACTAAGCACCAGTTGACCCCAAGGATTAACGGGCCAGCTTTAACTTCTATTCTATTGCATAATTGAATACATCATCTAGTTTATGTCAGCTTTTATCCTCAAAATTCTTTTTGTCTTCAAGAAAAGAATTTGGGTAGATGTAGATTAATTTCTGTGATATTTTCCATCTATAATGACATTCATATTAGTGATTCTTTTGATTTCCAGAACGGCTAATTGCTATGTCGTTTCCATCCTCTGGGAAACACTCATTCTATAGGAATCCCATGGAGGTAAGCCTATTCATGCAACAAGTACAGAACACTATGAACTCAAGAGCTTAGTGTTGACCCAGGCGGGGCAGTATTCTGCAAGCTTATTCTTTCAGCTGAAAAATCATACTAGCTAGCACGGGTACCAACTTGCTTTTGCTTATGCAAACCACTGCCAATCTACTGATTGGTAAGAGTAGGCCTTTATTTCACTCAAGATACGGGGTTTGTAAATATGAATTGGAGTTCATGGAGTGGTTCAAATGATTAGGTACAGGATTGGCTACTTTGCTGGGCTTATCTCTGAGCCTAGCTGGCCATCTGAGGACTAGCTAATCTGATATGGCTTAGCTAGGTGCCTCCTAGGATGTCTCTTCTCCCAGGCAGTTAGGTCAGCTGAAGTGGTCTCAGGAACAGCAAGCAAATGAATGGAATTACGTCAAGGCTAAGGCTTGAAGTGAACATTGTGTGGCCTTGAATTCCTTCTATTACACAAAAGGAATGACAAAACCAGTCCAGAATCAAGAGCAGAGAATAGACTCCATTCCAGATGAGAGGAACTATGGCCATGTATGTGGTCTTTTGGGGAGAAGGAAAAAAAAGTATAAAAATTTATGTTCTTACACATAAAGTCCCCTAAATTTTTATAAGGGAAATCTGCTTCAAAGTCTCTAGATGACTAAGCTAATTTTAACAAAATGAAGCTACTTACTATGAAATTAGATAAATTTTGGCTTAGGAAATATGTATGTATGTATACTTCTGTAATTCACCCTGTTCTCCCTTAATAAAATGTAACCACAGATCTGTATGTGGATGCATATACATAAATACATTCGATTGTCACTTCATGACAGGAAATGTTCTGTTGGGTGAAAACTCGCTGAGTGAACAACAATGTATGTAGTTAAAGAAAGCTAGAGGACTTCTCAGCAGCCTCATCATATAAGACTACTGGTGTATAAGCTGTCCACCCGTTATCCAAAATTAGCCTCAGGACTAAATGGTCCTTTCCCAACATAAGACCTCAACACAAGACAAAATGGGCAAGCACCTTCATCATCAGAAAAATGCAAGTCCAAACCACAAGGAGATCACACTGCAATATCCCCAAAATACTGGCAGTTTTCAAATACATAGGGATACCACAAACTAGCAAGGATTTTGAGAAAGGAGATCCCTGGCATGTTCTTGGTGGGAAAATCAATTAGCACAGCCATTGTAGAAGATAATGTGGGGGTTCTTCCAGAAAAAGAGAAATACAATGATCCTATGATCCAGTAATACTACGACTGGGCATTGATGTGAAATAAAGACTTCAGTATATGCCACAGACACAGGCACCCCTGGTTAATAGCGGCACTATTCAGGACTGAATAACCAAGAGATGAAAACAACCTCCTAAGTGTCCATTCACAGATGAATGGATAAAGGAAGTGTGGCACATATACAGGAGAGAGTATTGTTCACTCATAAAACAATGAAATATTGCTTTTGTTAACAACCCAGAAGTTCTCTGTTAAGTAAAATAAGCCTACAGGCTAGAATGTAGTATGTGGAATATAAAAGTATTGATCTCAAAGAAATTGAGAATAGAATAGGGACTACCAAAACCTGGGGAAGGTCAAAGGGAGAAAGGTTGGAGGAAGGTTAATCAATGAGTGAGAAACTGCAGTAAAATAAGAGTCAACTGACTGCTGAGCTGTTGCACAGCGGGGTGATTACAAGAACAGCATTTTATGATCTATTTCAAAAATTAACAATAAAGGATTTGATATTATATGAATACTTCACACAATACTTGTATTTAACCTGATTTAAATACATATATGGGTATCTATGTACGTATACACACACACACACACACACACACACACACATATGTATACCAGCTCTGTGTGACTCAGAATCTCATGTGGTACTTATAAATATGCACAACTTTTATGCTTACATATGTATCAATACAGAACAAAATGTATTAAAATGAAAATCATCATTATTTAATAATGTAGAATATGTATGCTTATATAACTCAACTTATTTTGAAGTATACTCAAACTGCACTCATCTTAAATATATCTGTCAATGCAATTATGGATAAGCACGTGCAACCAACACCTCTATCAAACTGTTCAGTATTTTTGGTACATTCTAGTCACTACCCAAACCCTCAACAAAGTTTGTTATTACCACAGATGAGTTTAATCATTCTTGAATTTCTCATAGTAGAATCATATAATACCTGCTTTGTAACTGACTTCCTAGGTGCAAAATGAATTCTGTCAGATTTATTCAATAGTTTTGTGCCCTGGTTATTCTTTTAAAAACAGAATTAATATTAATTGCTCTATGGATAATCTGTGCACAGCAATTATATAGTTATATACTGCTCCAAGAGTCAGCAAACTCATTCTATTCTGAAAATCCACTTGACAGAAAGGAGAACCTACAAACAAAAAAGTAAAGCTGAAGGAAGAGATGCAAATTTGGCAGCTAAAAGTTTTTGGCTGGTAACATAGAGCTCACAACTTTAAATATAGGAGTTTGAAAATATTTATGCTATACATTGTGCTGTGGGTTGATCTGTGCATAATAAACAGCACACTCATTGTCAAAGCAGCATATTCAACAATACTTAATTCACTTCCCATCTTTCTGGGTAAAGCATTCTGTGATCAGTGATATTGTGTTGTCAATAGGTTGAAGTGAAAACTGAATTAATTACCACCTGCCTAACATGGGGCCAATAATGTTTTAGGATTGGGCCCAAGTTCATTTCTCATGTGAGTCAAAACAAAGACATTATTCTTCCTGGAATGAGCTCTAGACTATTGCTTTCTCTCAGTTATCCACTACTTATCTACTTGGGCTATTGACAAATATCCTGATAGATCACTGATCCTTTTATGACTTGTAATCAAAGAATCTAAAAATAATCTATCTTCATAAACATCTATAAACCATGAACCACCCAAAGCTTACATCCACTGACTGAATTAAGAGTTAAGTCTTTCACGTTTGCCAGAGTGGAGTCTCAAAGCTAAGCTATTTTGTGCAGTTCCCAGGCAGACTGGAACATAGGACACAGAGCTGCTTCAGTAGTCCATGTTCAATGACTACAGCATATCCTTGTTATGGAATGACTAGCTAAGCAATCTCTAGTAAACAATTTCAAGTCAAGGTCCACTCAAGTGCACCTTCATCTCTGCACATTCTTAACTCCTGAAGTGGTTAAGCAGGCCACATGTTCCTTAGGATCCTTCAAAGGGAGGAAGTTTTCAAGATTGTATTTTGAACAACACTGAACAGATAAGGCAGAGAGGGTCAAAGTGCAGATGTGTGGGACCCACTCACAGTTACTGGAGAAACAACAAAATGAGGGCATATTAATAACTTTGGCCACTACTGTTTTCATGCAAGCACACAATATACCTTGGTCTCTAAGTCAAGGTAAAGTTTCTTTTGCAGGGAAATAAACTGTTGGGCACCCAACCCCTCTACTTTGCATCTATGTTCTTCATCTGAGCCAAGCTCTTCTGCAGTCAATTCACAGTCACCCAGGGCTCCAGCAAGAACAGGATTCACAATAATCAACTTGTGACAAAAGGCATCTCACACAATGCCTTCTTGTCATCTTGAAGACAACAACAGAGAGCTATAGACCACTGGCCAGGCCTCCAGGCTGAGCTAATTGTCAATCAGGCCCAGACTTGGGATCCATTTTACATGCCTACCTTTCTACCTCCAATACCTTTCTGCTTAATCTGAAGGCCTATCTGTAGATGGCTAGGATGTAGAAGCCATGAAAGCATAGCTGCCATGTGAAAACATTTCCTTTCTTGGCCCCTCAAAACAAGGGGAAAGCTACTATGAGCTCTAAGTGGGCAGAAAGAAGCCTCTGGCAAATTGAAGAAGACCGGGAGGTTAAGGCCGTCACAAAAAGGCTTTCCAAGAGTAGACAGCAGATTTTCCTAGTATCTCTAAATAGTTGTATAAAGGAGTTACATTCAACAAAACAGTTTATGAATATATTTCTCTTTTTTAGGAGGTGACTCGATTCTTGGAAAGCAGACATGCTGAACATTATTTTGTATACAACCTTTGTAGTATGTACATGACTTAATATTTTTGGTACTATAGATAGAAAACATGTAAGAAAATGACTTCTTCAATGTTTCATCTCATTGTAAATATTTAGTGGTGGGGAGTTAGATCAGAAATCTCTATTTTGTGCTGGTCCTCTCTGGTAGGAAAAGATAGCTTGGTGGCACATTGTACCCTAAGGGGGAGACAGGCCAGTGAGAGCAAAGATGCAGAGTTGGCGATGAAGCATTCAGGAAAGTCCTGCTCAGGCTCTTAGGCTTATGCAGGTGTTCCTGTGTTTGGTGCCACGTTGTGCTGAATACAATTCAGCAGGTATGTTCTCTGACTTACCAGAAGTGGGTGGTGATGAGAACAAAGCACTTGATGAGAAAAGACAAAAACAAAGACAAAAAGTCAAAGACAGAGTATACACCCAGTTTCTAGTGATGTCTGTCTGCATTTTGTTTACTCCTGTCTATACATTAAATCCTGCCTATACATTAATGACCGTAATCAGGGACTGAGCATTTAGACAGTGCCGTTGACCTCTGCTTCATGGTACACAAGTACCATAATAGAATGAGCAGGCTGCTGGGATGTTAAAAGTGAGGACTATGAAACAACAAATTGAGTTGAGATTACCTAAGGTGAAAAAGCCACTTACTATCCTAGAATCTGTCCTTAAAGCCCTTTCCTTTGCTCTTTGCTCCACTGGCCTGCCTGCCTCCCTCTTTAGGGAACATTGTGCTGTTGATCTTAAGAATCTACATGACTTAGGAGATGGGAAAGTGTGAGAAAAATGAGAGAAGGGATAACGGGTTTGACAAGAAATGTACTCTCTACTTATTTATAACCATAAGTGCTCTGCACATTAACTTGACAATAAAATTAAATTTAAAAGTATCATTTTAGAACAACTGGAGCCTCCCAGATAGCTTTTGAAGCTACATAAGAAATTCCTTATGGAAAATTTAAACTTCATGCCTCACTTTTATCTCATTAAGCATAGAGCTCTGACACATACATCATTTCTTCCAGGCGAACGATCTTATGACCCAAAGTATTTTCATCATCGAATGCATAGAATAATGATAGATGATCACAATGTTCCCTCTCTCGAGTAAGTTTTATGCCACACTGATTGCCAGAAAAGCACTACATTCGTTGGGCTTAAATTGGGGGAATGAGTTTTAATTAAATAAAATTCTTTCTTAAACCAGAGAGATGATTTTATTTTCAAAAGAAGTCATTGCCTGGCTATCCAAGGATCCTCAGAACATCATTGTGATTCACTGCAAAGGAGGAAAAGGTAACAATGTTTTCCTTTCTGTTTCCATTTGCTAAAAATAATTGAAAATAAATATTGAAGGACTAGCAGAGACGCATACTGGAATTCTTCAAATAAGAAATTCCTGTAGATTAATAGTTGCTAACATTTTAATAGTGATTTGAATGCCGAAAGAAGGAAAGAAGGATAAAAGCAAACTAGAGAAGGGGAAAGTAGAAGAAAGGAAGAAAGGAACAAGCACTAAGGAAGGCTGAGTGTATTTTCCCTTAAATTACCCATGATCTGAGTTTCTTCCCTTTGGGTTTTCCAGTTTATATCTGTCAAATATACATTGGGGAATAGCTGAATCTTGAAGCTAGCTAACAAATGCATTCTCTCCTTGGGCCCTTAAGTTCCTCTTCCCTGTTAACTAGAGACATTGAGCATTGTTTCATACACTTGTTAGCCACTTGCCTGTTTCCTTTTCAGAAATGTCTTTCCAAATCCTCTGTCCTACCCTACCTCCTACCTCCTTTTCATTCTTGGGACTTCCGGGTGATTTGGTTGCCATTACTACAGCTGGAGCACAGGGCCTCATACTTCCTAGGACACTCTACTACTGGAGCCTCACACACCCCTAATCCCTTTTTGCTTTAGTTATTATTCACCTAAGGGCTCACTTTTCATGCTGCCTCCAGGAACGCCTAGTCTGTGCACCTCCCACTTTACATTTTTCACATACATAGGTGGGATAATGGACATACTCTGTGATGCACAACTTTTGACTTGAGATGAAATCTTGCGAATGTTTTTGCCTGACCTTGAATGACAGTCCTCCCCATTGCCATACCTGAAGAGCTAGGATTAAAGTGTGAGTCACCTTGCCTGGCTTTCAGTTTGTTGTCTTTTGTTTTGTTTTGTTTTGTTTGAGACAGGATTTCCCTATATAGGCCAGGACAGTCTCAAACTTCCAGTTGTTAATAATTTTTTTATCAATGTCTTAAGTGAAATTGGCTGTAATTCTTCCTTTCTCACATTTCTCTTTTTCACTTTCAACTTCATAAGACCATGTTTTTCCTGTTAATACTCTGGGTGAATCTGTGTAACAGTATTATTCTTTCTCAAAGCTATGAGAGTTCAGTCTTAGCCATGCACTGGTGGCAAAATAACTGTAACTTATACAACCTGCTGAGTAACTAGGATTAGAGGTATGAGCCACCAGTATCTGTGGTAAAATCCCTTTTTTTTGTGTGTGTGTGTGTGTTCGGTCGTGGGGCCTGAACTCTGGGCCTGGACGCTGTCCCTCAGCTCTTCAGCTCAAGGCTAGCGCACTACAACTTGAGCCACAGCGCCACTTCTGGCTTTTTTCTTTTTGCTTATGTGGTGCTGAGGAATCGAACCCAGGGCCTCAGGCATGCAAGGCAAGCGCTCTACCTCTGAGCTACATTCCCAGCCCTTTGTTAAAACTCTTAAATATAATAATAGCTATGAACCCCCACCACACACACACACACACACACACACACACACACACTATTTCCTACACCCAAAATTCCAAACAAAATAATCTATTTTATAAGTTACATTGTAACTTATAAGGCCTATAAGAGTTACAACAGCCAGGCAGTGGTGGCTCACACCTGTAATCCCAGCTACTAAGGAGGCTGAGATCTGAGGATCACAGTTCAAATCCAGCCTGAGCAGGAAAGTCTATTAGACTCATCTCCAATTCACTACCAGATAACCGGAAGTGGCACTGTGGCTCAAGTGGCAGAGTGCTTGCCTTGAGCTGAAGAGCACAGGGACAGCGCTCAGGACTAGAGTTTAGGCCTTATGACCGACAAAAACAAAAACAAAAAAATAACACAAAGCAAATCTATTCTTAGTGTTTTGAAGAACAACCTCCATACTGTTTTCCACAGCGGATGGACTAATTTAAATCCCACCAACAGGATACCAAAGTTACTTCTTGCCTTTCCCCTCCATCCTTGCCAGACTTTGCATGCTTGCTCATCTGATTTGGTTGATGCAACCTTAGTGCAGATTTTATTTATATTATCTTTATGGCTAACGAACTTGCAAACTTCATTTATCTAATGGCCATTTTTACTTCTGAGAACTGTCTCAGTCTGAGTCTCACTTGACATTTAAGATATTTTGTTTTTGACTATATATACATCCCAGCCAGGTATACTGGTGGCTCATTCGTATAACTTTAACTACTCAAGGAAGGTGAGATTTGTGGCTCATGGTGCAGTAGCAACCAAGGCAACAAATGCATGAGACAGTTGCCTCCAGTTAACAAGCAAAAAGCAAGAAGTGGAGGTATGACTGAAGTGGTAGAACATCTTCTCTGAACAGAAGCATTCAATGAAGTTCATGAGTTGCAGCCCCTATACCAGCGTGAGTGAGTGCCACATGTCTCTGAAACTGATAGAACCTCAGTTTTTCTTCCTAATGCCAACATACATTCCTCACAGACCTATAAAGATTATGTGGTCTATGACTCAGTAGGTAAGTGTTAGCTGTTTTCTCTAGGGACTGATATTTATATTTGTTACTATAATTATATCAAGCAATCAAATACTATATCAATCTGAACAGAATGAATTTTAATGTCATGAAGACCAAGTTGAGTGTTTCAGGAAGATTCCATGAAGTTGACTGATGGTATATATTATCACAGCTAAATCCAATTCAAGGAAGACCACTAGCAAACAGTGAGGGAAAGCTTCCAGGAAGAAAAGTGTAGGATTCTGTACCTCGATTTCTCTGGCCAATTGGAAATGACAGGTTGTTGATGATATGATAATCTTTATACAACAGGCCTGACTTTTCCAGAAAGAACTCCACCTGGGAGAGGCTTAGTGATAGATGCTTGACAAATGATTGAAGAACAGCTTCTTCATGGCTTCTTGTTTCACCTGGCTGAGAGGACACATAGTGATGCTGAAGCTGTACTTACCCACAGCACAGGCACATGCATCTGCCCCGTATGGTGTATAGAGACTTGGAAAAAGAGCTTTTTACAAGTTTCCTTTCAATGGGAAAAGATCATTCTTTTGGAGACCCAGAGCTGTTCTCCAGAACTGACAAGCTTACAGTCAGTGAAGCTGAGAAGCAATAGTCAGCATTCTTATTTAGCAGGAAGTAGCTTTGTCTCATCTTTGTAGCTACAAGTGGCATTAACTTCCCTTTGGAAGTACTTGGTTAGAATACTGTTCTTTAAACTTGGTGGAGAAGTTGAGTTCATTATAAAATGTTTAAGAGATAGGTCAAAAATATTATGCTTCTCAGGAAGATGGGTATGTTAGGAATTGAATAAAAGCAACTAAGTTAAACTCTACAGATGATTATAGAAAGAGAAAAGACAACATTTTTTCAAACCTAAATACATCTGTCATCCAAGGAAGGGATTTTTGAGGATGAGTGATTTGAAGCAGGAAGGAAGTCAAGGGTGAGCTTTAAAACACTATAACACACACACACACACACACACACACACACAAGTAGAGGCAGATGCAGACACACACACACACACACACACACACACACACACACACACACACACAAGTAGAGGCAGATGCAGAGAGAGAGAAGGGAGGAGAGAGGAGAAAGAAAGGCAGGCAGGCAACCCAATGCAGAAATTAAGCAAGTACAGTACAGCAAAATACTGAGAATTACAGAACCTGAGGAATATAGGCCCAAGAGTATTCATTATAGATTCCTCTCTACATTCTTATCTTTCAAAAATGTTTGCCCTACAATTCAAATAATACAATCAAGTAGGAACTACAAGTGCTAGTTGCTATTTTGGGTTCCTACCTGATTTGAACTCAGCACCTCACACCTGCTTGGCAAATACTCTACCAGTTAAGCCATATGCCCAGCCCTGTTTTGCTTCAATAATTTTTTTAGATAAGGCTCATATATTTTCCTGAGCTGGCCACAGACTAAAATCCTCTTTTATGGATATAAACCACCCTGCCCACTTTGTTGGTTGAGAAGGAGGTTTTGCCTGAGTTGGCCTGGAACCACAAACCCCTGATCACTTCCACCTGAGTATCAGGGATTATAGGTGTGTATTGCCATTCATGGCCTAGTTTATCTTTTTCTTACATTCATTACAAATGAGATGTTTCTATTTCTCAATTGAAAATCTTGAGATAGTCACCCTGAGAAAGAATCAGGACCAATACCAAAAGCACACTTTTTAGTATTTCTGAGTGTACTGCAACGAAGGTTTCTTTTTTATTTTTAAATTTCATTTTTATCATTAAGTAGTTGTGCAAAGGACTTGTTAGTCAACAAAGTAAGTATATGAATACAACAAATCTTGATCGATGTCACCTCTTTCAACAGTCTTCCTCATCCCTCCCACCAAAATCATTTAAACACTTAAATACTTAACATTTAGCAGAAAGAATCCCAAGAGTACTTTCTATGGGTGAAAAGGGGTTTTTTGGAGAAGGTATTTTAACTTTCTTCATAGGGCTATAAATAATTTCCAGGCATTTATAAATTTTATTGCACCTGAGACCTGAGGACCAATGGAATAGAATTGAAGACTCAGAAGTGAGTCTTCTCATAGCCACCTAATCTTTGATAAGGGAGCTAAAAAAATAGAATGGAAGAAAGAGAGCCTCTTCAGTAAGTGCTGCTGGCAAAATTGTTTAAACACCTGTAGAAAACTAAAGCTAGATCCCCATATATCACCCTGCACCATAATCAACTCCAAATGGATCAAAGACCTCGAAGTCAAAGCAGACACCTGAAAACATTACAGGAAGGAATAGGAGAAATCCTAGGTCTCCTTGGCACAGGCTGAAATTTTCTTAATAGAGACCCAGAAACATAACAAATCAAAGAAAGATAGGACAAATGGGATTGCATGAAACTGCAGAGCTTCTGCATGGCAAAGGACATAGCTAACAAGATCAATAGAAAGCCCACGGATTGGGAGAAGATCTTCACTAGCCATACCAAAGAGAAGTGTCTCATGTCTAAAATATACTTAGAACTCAAAAAATTAAATCCCCCAACAATAAATCCTCAAAGAAACAACCGCCTCAATAAGTGGGCTAAAGACTTCTCTTCTAAACAGAGACTTCTCTGAAGACGAAAGAAGGATGGCCAATAGACACACGAAAAAATGCTCAACTTCTCTGGCCATAAAAGAAATGCAAATCAAAACAACATTGAGATTCCACCTCACCCCAGATAGAAAGGCTATATACAACAAATCTAATATCAACAGATGCTGGAGGAGATGTGACCAAAAGGGAACACTACTGCATTGTTGGTGGGGGAGTAAACTTGTCCAATGACTTTCGAAAGCAGTATGGAAATTCCTCAAAAGACTACACATGGAACACAGGTTTCTTGAACTAATTTTGGCTCTTTTCTAGGGCGCACGGGGACCATGATTTGTGTCTGCCTAATTGCAACTGGCACATTTTTAACCGCCAAGGTAGGAAAAAGGTTATTATACTCTGTCTTATATTCACTGAATGTGCTGGTTCTGAAACATCACTGGTAAAATGATAAGAAATGTCTTACCTCGTGGTGATTCACTGAAAACCGAGATTCGTGCTGTCTTGCTTAATTTAAGTGGCCTGGAACCCTTGTTCTGGGCAAGGACAACAGTGACAGCAGTGATGCGCAATTGGAAGGGAATGGCAAAATTGAGAATAAGATACACAGCATTTTTAAGGCATACTTCTACTATCTGTGCATAGCTGCCATTCAACAAAGCAGTTTGTAAATACAGCACCCTGAGAGCAATGTCACTCTTTTATCATTCTTCTCCATCCCTCCCAGCCCCACTCCTCCCTTCAATTTAATTTTGGAGGATATGTATTGAATTTTATGATGGTGTAATTCAATACTAAAAAAATCTGACATTGTCTAAAAAGGAATGTACTCATACCTGACTTAATTGTAACCCCTCTGTACAGTATTTTCACAATAAAAAATTAAAAAAAAAAGAAATCTGACATTATCTAAAAAGGAATGACTCATACCGGATTTATGGAACTGTAACCCCTTCTTTACAGAAACTTTATAAAGAATTTGTAAATGTATTAATAAGCCGGGCACTGGTGGCTCATGCCTGTTATCCTAGCTACTCACAAGGCTGAGGTCTGAGGACTGTGGTTCAAAGCCAGCCTGGGCAGGAAAGTCCATTAGCCTCTTATCTTCAATAAATCATTCAGAAAACTGGAAATGGCTCAAGTTGAAGAGTGCGTGCTTTGCGATGAAGAGCTGAGCGACAGCCCCACAAAAGACCAAAAAAAAAGAAAAAAAAGTAATAGGAATACAATTGTTTTAAAGAATCAAGGAAAAATTGGGTATTAATGACACACCTATAATATTAGTTACTTGAGAATCTGAGAACAGGGGTATTGTCATTTAATATTAACATGGATGTTATTCTCCTTCACCTCCCCAAATTAGATGTATATAAAAATGTTTTTGATCCCACATATGATATATATATTTATATATTTACACACACACATATATATATGTAAACATATGAGGAAGCTAGGAGGAGGGGACAGAATCAGAAGGAAATGAGTGAAAAATACATCAGCTGCACTGGACATTGATGATAGTGAACTAAGCAGCTCAAGGGCAGAGATGGGAGAGAGGGACTAAGAGAGAAAGAGGGAACAGCTTACATTAAGCACCCTATTTGGAAGATAGAGTTGTATTGTCAAAGTTTATAGAGATCACAAGCTTTATAAACCATGATAATGAAAACTATGAAGGCTAAAATGTGTTTGTGAATTTGGCTAAGTAGCACTTTCCCACAATTTTGTGAAGTTTTTGTAATCACTTAATCTCAGTTAGAAAATTAAAAAACAAAAGAGCAGAAAAGCTCATGAGACCCCTTCTTAACTGCTGGATGCACCTATCATCCCACCCTACATGAGAAGCTGAGATTGAGGGGATCTCATACCCAGCTACCCTTGGTACAAGAGTCCATAAGACTCCAGCTCCACAGAGGTGGCAAGCAGCTTTCATCCCAGTGATGATGAAGAAACCTGTAGTAGACAGATCATGGCTTAGGTGCATGCCTGAGTAGTAAGAAAGAGCTAATCATAAAAATAACCAGCAAAAAACAAGCATGAGAGCCTCGCTTAGCAGAATCACACCAACCTAGCAAGCATAAGACTCAGAGTTTTTAAAAAAACGAACAGTACTACCAGGAAAACCAACAAACAATCTAATGTCAGCTTCTGTGTGTATGTAGCATTAGGATGTGAACTCAGGACCTCCTGCTTCCTACCCAGGTGCTCTCATAATCCATGTCTCCATTTCTTTTCTACATTGGCTATTTTTGAGATAGGCTGTCATTTGCCAATGGTCTGCTTTCTTTCTCTCCTACCTAAGATGACAGGTACATCAAATCATAATCCTCTAGTTCTCAGCCTTTCAAGTATGTAGGCACTAGCATCTGGCAGATGTCATCATTTTCTTTCTTTTAAAAAAATTTATTTATTTATTTATTGTGAAAATACTGTACAGAGAGGTTACAATTACATGGGCAAGATAATGAGTACATTTCTTATCAAGCATTGTAGCCTCCTCCTTTTTTTCCCCTTCCCATTCCTTCCCATCCTCCTCCCGCCCTCCACCCAATCCTCCTGCCCCTCTCCCCCACCAAAGTTGTAAAGTTCATTTTCAACATAATGACTTATACTTCTCATTGTTCTCATGGGTCCACCTGTATCCTTATTTAAATGAGTTGTTTTTCCCCTTCCCCTCCACAAATTATACCGACATCAAATACAGTCAAAGCAGGGGTTATACTGTAGGGGAGGGACATACAAAGCAACAAAGAAATAATCTTATAAATGGGTTAGAAACAATCGCATGAAAGAAAAAAAAAGATTTGAATACATATCTTAGGGTTCATTTCCCTAACATCACCTTATCTGACCTTTTCTGCTTGAGATGTCATCATTTTCAATAAAGACCGGAACCCCTAGGGGAAGTTTGAAGGTAAAATGAGTAAAGCCAACTTGAGCCAGTGCAAAATAAATTTTGTCTGCCATAGTGCTGCATGCTAGGATCCTAGCACTCAGGAGAAAGAATCTACCAGTACAGTGTAGGTTGCTCTACACAAAGAGAAAACAAAACCCTCAGTAATCAGATGCTTCTGAAACCTTCCCAATAATGTGACCACTTCTTTCCTCAAAATAAGATCCTGATGAACTAGAATTTGAATTGCTAACTTGATACAAGTTGCCACTTTTCAGCTGAGAACACAGTCTTCTATTTTCTTATCTCTGATAGCCAATAAATGGGGGATCTGTGGCCTTTATGAATTTCTGCAGAGACATGGTGGGTTGTTATGACCTTGTAAAGGAGGGTACAGTTCTACTGACATGCTCCTCCTGGGGACCTAACACCTGTAGGACACAGAGCCCTGCTCACTTCTTGGCCTACAGTCTAGACAAAAGAAGAAATGGATTTAGCACTATATCCAGCTCTGTAGTCCAATCCTTCTGTTTTCCTAACTTGGGACACACAGACTTGGAAAATGGGTGTTGTACCCCTGTTCCCCATGCTCTCAGGGGCTAATGGGATATACCATATCTACCTTCAGGCTGGGCTGGTTAGACTAGTACCTAGGGCCCAAGGACCTGGGGAGAAGAAGAAAAAACAAAATGACTGTTCAAGGACAATGTTTCCCAAACTATAACCAGTGATTTCTAAAATCAGCTTACTAAATTGTGACTAGAATTTTTTTAATGGGAAGGAACAGAACAGAAGAGAAAACATGAAAAGTTTTGGGATTCTTTGTCTTGCTCTGAGTGTGTGTGTGTGTCTGAGTATGTGTGTGTGTCTGAGTATGTGTGTGTCTGTGTGTGTGTGTGTCTGAGTGTGTGTGTGTCCTAGGCGTATTTGTATGCATCCTAGTCCCAAACACAAAATGCAAGACCTCTGCTTCAGGCTGTGTGCCTCTCACTGGCTATACTGCAGGTCTCTGGGTTCTCTTTGGATTTCAGTCTTCTCATATCTAAAATGGAAGATAGGAAGAAGAGTTGGACCAGATGATTTCTAAGGTTGTTCTAGCTCTTAAGTTCCATGTCTTTATGAATCTTGAACTAGGAAAAGTCCTTGACATGGCTTTCTTCCCTTTCTTGTTTTGAGTAGCTCTGTCCAAAGATTGCTGATGTGAAGGTGAACTGTAGTTGTATCATCTCCTTTTCTGTAGGAAAGCCTGAAGTACTTTGGGGATAGAAGAACCGACACAAGTTTCAGCAAGAAATTTCAAGGTGTTGAAACTCCTTCCCAAGTAAGTTTTCTCTTTTCACCAGGAGTTTGTTGGTAGGGAGGGATTAGTGGCAGCTTCAATTTGGCTGCATTTGAAATCCTTCTCTAACACTCAATTAATTCAGTAAGAGCACTTGTGATTTGTAACACTTCCCTGATCTCTTTAGAGGCTCAACTCTGTAGCCTCTAGGGTTGCCTAGGCTTGGTTCAGGCCAGAGCATTCTACTTTCCATTTCATATTCCTTATTACTTGTGCAGCTTCAGGAGTTGTTTCCCCTCCACAAGAAGGAAGGTCTTTTGCCTGAGGTTTTCCTCACTCTTGAGGATGATCTCAAATCTACTAGCCCTTGATTTCTCTGAAAAGAGGGATTGAATCTTTCAGGAACCCCTGAAAGACAATGAGCAATTCAATCTCTCTAGAACATCACCAGGATTGTTTCTTGATCACTCTCCCTGTGTGGCTAAAAAGAGGTCAGAGAGGGGAAAGAATGAGAGAGACACACACCAAAAGTTAGACATAAATATACACTGAGACAGGAAATGAATGAAAAAGAAGGAAATGGGAAAAGGAATATTTTTAGAATCCTGTCAGGGCAGACACTAGCATACTCATGTTTCTTATTCCATACTTGAAACCTTCATGTGAACTATTATCCTGCTTTTCCTCTGAAAATTTCCGAACATACTGCATTAGACTCTTGGTCACTGTGACAAATACCAGACAAAAGAACTTCAAGTGGGAAAAGATTTATTTGGGCTCACAGTTTCAGGTTTAACTTCTTGGCCACTTGATCCCACTGCTTTGGGCCTAAGGTGAGACTGACAACTTCTGTCAAGGAAGGTGTTGTAAAGCAAGGCTGCTCACCTGGAGGTGGCCAGGAAGCTGAGTAGCAGGAAGGGGCAGGGACAAGATACATCCTTTCAGTGACTTCTTTTCTCCAATGAGGCCCCACGTCCTAACATTTTTCCCACCTTCTACTAATACTATAGATGTATGAAGCCCTCAATGGATTAGGCTACTGCTGAAGTCAAAAGCCTCGTGAAACAATTACTTCCCGACACCTTACCTCTGAACGCTGGTACACTAGAGATCAAGCCTTTCACATATGAGCCTTTGAAGAGCACATTTCATATCCAAGCTCTAAAACACAAGATGGAATTACACAGTCTATACTTCAATCATCCTCTCAACCTATAGCCAATCATGCTACATGCATTCCTTCCCTACTCTCCTCCTGGGTACCCCTTCCTACCCTTTCTTTCCTAAACCAGGAATACTTTGAAGGAAATTCTATACATCCAATCCTTTTATCTCACAAGTACTTTGGCATGACACCCAACATATGTACTCTTAAAAAATAAGCCAATAAAACACCTAGCCAGGAACTAGTGCTTCACACCTGTCTGTATTCCTTGATGCTCAGGAGCCTGAGATTTGAGGGTGGCTTTGCTTGCAGGAAAGCCTGTGAGACACTTCTCTCCAATCAATTACCAAAACAGCTGGGGATGGAGTTGTGATTGAAGTGGTAGAGCACTGGCCTTGAACAAAACAGAAAAAGAAAACAACAAATCCAACTACTGGTTGCCTCTAGCTCATATCTGAGGATCATGGTTTGAAGCCAGCCTAGGCAGGAAAATTCATGACACTCTTATCTCCAATTTATTACAAAAAGCCAGATGTGGAGCTGTGATCAAGTGGTAGAAAGATTACCCTTGAGGACAAGGCTCAGGGTTAGTACATAGGCCCAGAGTTCATATCCCAGAATGCACACAAACACACACACACACACACAAACACAAACACACACACATATATAAATACAATGCTGATATTATTGATTATATTCACAAATATTGTAGTTTAATATTGCCTATTTAGCATTAATTTCCATTCTACATATAACTATCAAATACTAAACAAAATTACACATTTCATTCATAATCACAACAATTCTGTTAAAGTTTGTTGGTTTCTTTTTTTTTCATAAATTACTTTCTGAAGAAACCAAGGTATTTATATCATAGAGTTTACATTCCAAACTTTCATAAGCCATCTGAGGACTTCCTATTCATTGTCTCCTTTATTATTGTGGACCACTATGGGAGAGCACTTTTATGCAAATTGGGTAGTTAAGGTTAGTTGAGAGAAATTAACATTTTGAACCAAGCACTCAAATCTGGATCTGTTGGAGTCACAGTCCATCATTTCCCATGCTGTGCATAGCTGCTCATCCACACAGTCTTGTCTGCTTTTCCCTTCAAACCATGTAGGAGTTTGTGGGGAATGCCTAGAGATAGGGTGAGGTGGTGAATGGAAGTTTTCGATGGCAGAAGTTGATAGATTTGAACAGCATTTTGGCCTTGTGAACAGTCCACTAACTACTGGTCTCCAGTTCAGCCAACAAAATTTCAGCCTTATCCATGGATATACTTCCCCCTTGTCCAAGTGACCCCACCAGAAAAGAGAAAAAAATGTAGCTATGGAGTCTAAACCTATGAACTTAGCAAACCCCATTGCTAATGATGTCATTTCTGCTAACATCCACAATGGCTTCCTTCTGCAACCAACTGGCTCCCTTCTAAAACAAACAAAGTATCTTGAATTGAACTTACAGTCTTCTACAATGTGATTTTCCCACACCTTTCTCTCATTCTGTGCATTTATACATCCCACAGTCTACTACACAGAGAAGGTTTACTGCTTCCCAGCATACCAACACTTCGTCCCTTCAAGCCTTTGTTCACACAGGCCCCTTAGCCTACAGTCCCTTTCCATTCCCAGCATATAGTAGTCTCTGCCCATTTCAGGTCTTGCAGCCCTTTGAGGACTTGTGAGGAACTATGCCATTCATTCTGTAGCCATTTCAAGTGCAGTATATGGATCCCCTTAAAGGCAATTCCCATGTCTTGCTGAAATTCCCACCCTTTGCATCCCAAAGTACTTTGCCAGGTGGCAGAGTGTCTTCCGTAACTGAATATGTGCTCACTAGGTGTCAGTTGTCTTAATATATAAGGAAGCCTCTGTTGCTTTAAGCTGCGTCAGGAGAAGGAAGAGTGAGAGCAGAAGCAACTTGAAGGGCTCCATGTATAGAAGTGGAGAATCTGATGGCAGAAGCTAAGGGGATTGTACGGCATCTCCTTCTCATGTCTCCATATATCTCCCTTCCTCACTTCTGCAGTCACACAGTTTCCCTGATTTCAGTCCAGACCTGACCATAGCATGGGCTAAAGCTCTTTTGTTTCACTGGGAAAGCAAGGCAGGTGTTGGCAAGGCTGCAGCACTGAGTCCCCTTGGTTTGGAGGTCCTTATTACACAATGCCACATTCTGCCCACCATTGTGACATTCTTTTTGTCACAGTGCATGCAACTGAAAGGCAAGAATTTTCAGGAGTCTTTCTCACCACTGCCCTTTCATCTGTTGAATTCTGGGACCTTGTGCTCGGTAGCCTTTACTTGCTCATAACAAACACTTTACCACATCTCTGGCCCAACTTTTGCCTACTGGTTACATATGATTCTCCCAAACTTTTCAGTCCTGGCTGGCTTTGGTCCTCAATCCTCTCAGCCTCAGCCTCCTGAGTAACTAGGATTACAGACATGAGTCACTAGCATCCAGCAAACCTACTTTTGATAAGTGGAGCTGTGGCAGCTCACTCCATCAGCTCTTCCCCGTTGGTTCATCACCAGGACTCTTCAGTTGCACCACGAGAATTCCAAAGAAAGCCCTTGTAAGCAACTTGCTATCGAGGGGAATAGGAGACTAAGAGAATTGCAAGGTTCTCTTGCAAAAATATATTTGAGAAAAGGGAAGATGAAGAAACACTTATCTCTTAGGAACCCCTCAAAAGTGACATATAATCATCTACTGCAGCTCTGTGTGGCAGTCTCATTCCCTTGAGAAGCAAACATAGTCCTTTCTCTAACCCAGGGCATCAGACTCTGCCATAGCTGTTTTAGCACCTTTATTATTCTCATGGTCAAAAGCAAGCCTATAAGCAAGGACTAGCTCCTTCCATGGTACTCCCTGCAGGTCAGAGGCCAGTGCTTTCTCCATAGAGCTCATTACTCATGGGGAGACAAATAAAAAAGACTCTTGATTATGTAATGGCACACTATCAATGTTTTCTTCATTTCTTATTGCTCTGGACATGGTGTAACAGAGAGAGACTAGAATACTGACTTTAACCTTGCATTCCAATGCAATTGAGGCTTCTGGTTGCTTTACAGAGTCGATATGTTGGTTATTTCGAAACCATCCGAAATGTATGTAATTGGCAGCTACCATTGAAGAAAATACTCAAAATTACCAAGATTGTCATTTACTCCATTCAAGGTAAGCACTTTAATTTAAAATGATAGGATGGGTTGAGAGGATGAATGTTCTACTACTTGAGAGCAGTTTGCTCATGGTTATGTACATAGATGATCCTAACTCACAGCTGTGTAAATTTCTCCACGGGAGAACTCCTCCCTCTGGAGCTGCCATGACAGCTACTCTCAGATGCTTCCCTTCTTCCCTTGCCCATTTCCACTTGAGGGGAGGGCTCCATCTCCTTACCTTCTCTTCTCACTGTTCCTGGTCTCAACTTAAGTTACACTTTTCAAGGTGGAGCCTTTACAGGAGAAAAGACTCATGAACGCTATCGATTGCTTCTTTCTCAGACCAACTTCTCATTCCTAATTCATCTCAGCAATGCAGGCCCTGTATCATTTTCTCCTGTACTCCTTCCAGAGAAGATTTCTTCTAAGCACTCTGATCTTTCTTTTCTCTCTTTCCTCCTCCTCCAGACATCTCATCACTACCACCTCCATCAAGACGTTTTACTTTATTTGTTGCCACATAAGGCCAGGATATATGCTAGCATTCACCGTGGGTTGTCAGCAGAAAAGAGATATAAGTGCATAGATTCAAAAGCTAGGTGTTCCTAAGACTCAAGCCTAAAGTCCTAGTTATTCAGAAGGCTGACATCTTCAGGATCACAGATTAAAGCCAGCCCAGGCAGAAAAATCTGAGTTTCCATTTCCAAGCAAAGGAAGTAGAGTTGGAGATATAACTCATGTGAAAGAGTGTCAGCTAGGCAAGCTGAGCAAGCTCAAAGCCTTGACTTCAAACTCTGGCAACAGGAAATGGAAAAGTCAGACATCATTTCCAAGCACACAATTAGGTACTGCAGAGAAGCTTCCTAAGGGGCAGCACTTGTACTCACCCCCTTTCCACACCTGAATCTCCATGAATATGGAAAGAGTTGGGAGAAAGTGGTGTTTTACTAGAGTCCTTTACCTACCAACAAGTTACTGCCTACTTTCAAAATCATGAGGCTGCCTAGTTTAGGCATCTCATTATTCCTGGAATGATAGGCACTTAGCACCATGTCCACAAAGTTGTTCCACTGGCCTAGCTCAAACTGTAATCTTCCCAAACTCAACCTTCCAAGCAACTAGGGTTACAGGCATGAAACACTGATACTTATCCACTCTAGCTATTGTTGAGATCAAGTCTCACATTGCCCCTGCTGGCCTAGAAAAACAGTGAGAGAGGTTATTGCTTTGGGGACAAAGACCTAAACAGGTAGAAGATGGGTGAGACACAGAATTGTCACTTCATTTTTTTCCTTCTACCTTTTACATGATGAAATACATTTATGTGGTTTAAAATTGTTTACATATGGGGGAAATTAAGAGCTTAAATCCACGTTCTTATTATGCAATAAGAATTGGACTTAGTTCTACTTTTGATTCATTGGTAGTAGACATCACATCGATAGAAAGAAGTTGTGCAACCAAACAGGAGCGAGGGAAGTACAACATAAAATTTTGCTTCCTTCTAAAACTCATTCACATAGTGGTAGACAAATGAAATTAACAGAAACCAAAACCAGACAAAATGAGAAGAGCAATCAAGCATGGTTAATGGGCCTTTTTGTGTCAAGGTGAAATTGGCAGGGTTGAAAGGAAAAAGTGAATTGTGGGATCTGAAACCAGGTCTTGGAGGAAATGCTAAAGGAAGCGGGGCCATCTTAACTGAGGAAAAAGGCATAGGTTGAACACTGTTGGCTCAAGCTGGTTATCCTAGCTACTCAGGAGGCTGAGATCTGAGGACTGTGATTTAAAGCCAACCCATATAGACACCACTCTTATCACCAGTTAATCAGTAAACAGTCCAAAGTGGAGGTAGAACTGGTAAAGTTCCACCTTTTCGCAGTCACAACTGAAAACATGAGGCCCTGAGCTCAAGTCCTACTCAAGGGAAGTAAGTCAGGTCCAAAGACACAAATTATGCATGTTTTCTCTCACATGGAGAAGCTAGATCTCTTATAAATCAACAGTAAATGCATATGAGGTTGTTTACATGTGCACACAAACATATTAAGGGAAGTATAGTATTTGCATGATAGAATTCAAATGGTGTAATTCCTTAGAAAAATGAGCTCATGGTGCAACAACGTGAATGCCAGGAAACACCAGTTTCTTGAAAAGCATGTGTGTGGGGGGGGGGGGGGAGGTAGAAAGGAGGAGAGTAGAGGAATGAGGACAGGTAGAGGGGAAGACAGTCATAATATTTCATGTGTGCCCTATGAAACTAGTAAACTTGAGAGAAGGATGGGTTGGGAGGGATTTGAGACAATGATGAAGTGGTTGATATCCATCAAGATGCATTGCACTAATAAACTGATTTGGTAATGGTAACCCCTTTGCACAACTGCTTCAAGATAATAAAAATACAGGTGAAAAAAGAAAGAAAGGGCCATAAGACTATTGCTCTGAATACTTGCCCTCCGTTTTTCTAGAGATGGATTTAGAAAGTGGACTTAAATTAGGGCAAGTGGAACTTACATTACTATCATACAAGTCTCAAGAAAGCATCTCATTAGTGAGAATCTTTGTAATTCCCTTATATGTTTTTCCTTTTTTCCGGAAAGCTGAAACAGTAAGAATTTATCTTTCAGAAGCTGAACATGCAACATGTATGTTTTTGTCTCTTTCTCTCTCATCTTCTCTAATGTGAGCTGGCATTGTTTTCTCTTTTTAGTCCATACTGTTAACTGGCAAGACAATTTGCTCTGTACTCTAACAGGTCTATTTTTTTTAACCTTTTATTCAGGGATAGGACAAGGAGACGGGAAGGACCTGAATATTGAAATAGTACGTCAGCACAGGACTGTGCTTACTTGCACTCTACAAACATGCACGGTGAGCAAAAGCACATGAACTGAGAAGTCTAGTGTTTGTTGCAAAGCACCCAGTCCAACAGGCATGCTGACCAACCCAAACCATCACTCACCACAAACAGACCCATGCTGCCTTCTGGTCACCATCCAACTTGCAGTTGCTTAGTTCAGATGCAAAGCAGAGCCTAGTTCCAAACAGTTCACGTAAGACATTTCTCAAACTATGTTTCCATTTAGTGCTCCTTTGTTTCACTTGCCCACAAATGCTAAGAATGTACCCAGGAACCAATCAAGGTTTTAAATACCTACATCTGGTTAGCATTTGCTCTATTATCTTCCTTTTGATCTTCTTAAAAAATAATTTTTTAGATAGCTCTGATTCTCCAATTTAGGGTTCTTGAAGATCACCTTGGCACTTGTAAAAGTGGAATGTTGTAACTCCAAAGTAGGATGCAGAAACCCTCCACTCAGTAATGTATGTCATCAGGGACTCTAACTCAGATGTTCTGTAGGATGTCACCTTGAGACATTGGGAGACAGCATATGGACTGAGGAGATACCTCTTTACCTCCAGAAGTAAGGGGAAACCTTGTTTAACTGAAATGTTGGAGAAATGATCAATACTGTAGACCTTTCCTGGAAGAAATTAGCAAGTTTCCTTTGGAACCAAAAGTTTAAAAAATATTTCCCAGGTTCTTCTTATAAGGTCTCTACACACACACACACACACACACACACACACACACACACACACACACACACACACACACACACACACACACGTACACACAAAGTTCTGGAGCTTGAACTCAGAGCATAACTGCTGTCCCTGAGCTCTTGTGCTCAAAGCTAGTGCTTTGCCACTTGAACCATTCCTCCATTTCTGGCTTTCTGGAGCTTAATTGGAAATGAGAATCTTATAGACTATTTTGTCTAGGCTGGCTTTGAATCTTGACGCTCAGCCTCCTGAGTAGCTGGCATTGCAGGCATGAGCCTGGTATCTGGGTTCATAGGCACTTTTAAAACTGTTATTGATTCCTGTTTGGCTTCAGTTAGAGTACAGCATTGTCCCATTTGTTAGGAAATGGAAAGACTTGGAAAAAATTACATTAAGTGAAGTAATCCAGGCCCAGAGAAACAGAGGTCCCATGGCTTCCCTTATTTGCAATAACTAGCATATGTCTGAGACAAACAGAAACTGTCAGAGAAGTTGATGTTAGGCAAAATGAACCCCAAGATAAGTACTCAAATGTTTTTTTTCTTTCTTGCATTTGTTTCCAACATATTTATAAGATGATTTCTTTGTTGCTTTGTATGTCCCTCCCCCAGGGTATAAGCCCTGCTTTCACTGTATTTGATGTTGATATAATTTGTGGAGGGGAAGGGAAATAACAAACTCTTTAAATAGGGTTGCAGGTGGACCCATTACAACAATGAGATGTACAAGATGTTATGTGGAAAAACGAACTTTACAACTTTGGCCGAGTGAGGGGTACGGGGAAGGGGGTGGTAGAGTAGTGTAGGGGTGGAGGGTGGAAAGTGGAAGGGATAATATGGGGAAACAAAGGAGGAGGCAACAATGCTTGATAAGAAATGTAATCACTATCTTGCCCCTCTAATTGTAACCCATCTGTATGGGATTTTCACAATAAGAAGAAGAAGAAAAAAGAAAAAAATAATCTTTACTATTGAACATAAAAGTGCCTTCTTGAAAGAAGGTAAAATCCAATAATTCACAGTCAACTCTATTGTTCACTAGGTAAAACCCCCAGTAGAAAAACTTCTCAGCTGTGCTCTAATATAACTCTCAGACATTTAGAGCTTATGTAAACAATAGTTTTACAATGTCAGAAAAAATCATTACCACTTATTTCTATAGGAAATGACTGGCCTGTGAAACTAAGAGTACATATTGGTTTTAGGATGCTTGGATGAGGGAAAATGAATAGTTATCAACAGCTACATTGATCATTCCTAATTCCATGTGTTCATTCATAGGTTTTACATGATCCTGAAAAAAACAGGGCAATATTTATTGTCCCCAACTGCCCGGACTTACAAAATGATGTCAAAGTGAGGTTTCTGTCAATGGTGAGTCATCAAGAATTCTCTGATTCTCTTGTCGTCTGGTCTTTTGAATGATTTTGGTTCAAGATTGCCTTTGCTGCAGTTCTGGACAATCCATTTCTAGAGAAGGGGAGGAAAACAAAATCAAAACTATCACCATTTCTACTACACATAAATACTTTTCTTCACTTTTTTCTGAAGTGTATGTAATTGATATCTAAGTTTCAAAACCAACATGCTAAAAACAAAAAGGTATTGTTTCCACTGCCCAGCAATATGAACAGTTATACTGTGTATCTTTTAAACCCATTGTGATCAAAGTGTGCACACATCCCCCAAAGTGACAGACATTTTACTTTCCTGTGAGTTGATATGTGCTATCATTATCTATTAGTTTCATTATTATAACAGTGTGCAATTTCTATTGATCACAAGTAAAATGCCATGACTGTTCTTCTGTTTGTACTGACTCTCTAGGAAGTCATCTGTCACAACTAACAGTAAGAAACTTAAATTTCATTCTCAATGCCTCCTTCATTACCTGCTTACCCACTACTGAAGGGTATTGAGATGGCAAATATGCGGAAGCAGGTGACCACTGGGGGTAGTCACTCTACTGGAATGCTGTCCCTTGGATAAGAGAACCACTGTGAAATCTTGCTCAGATAGTGGTCTCTAAGCAGAAACTGTGATTTCTTCCCTGGGTCAGGGAACCTTGGGAAGAACTAGTTTTAGTGATGATCAAGGGTTAAGATGTAAAGGCACGTTTGTAACAATTGAGAAATTTTTAGCTCACTTTGGTGTGTTTTGGGTCATACTGAGTTATGAACTCAAAGCCTCACACTTTTGCTCGCTTGGCTTGCTTGGCTAATCTCTATCACTTGAGCCATGCCTCCAGCCCTGCTTTTTACTGGTAATTTTGGAAACAAAGTATGAGTTTTCTGTCCAAGCTGTCTTGGACCCTCCAGAACTCAGCCTCTTGAGTAGCTAGCTATCATTAATATCGATGGTTCATTATTCAAAGTAGCTGTTGGTTAGAGAAATAGATGTGTCTTCTATTTCTTTGAGCATAGTCTCAAGGACTGTTTCTGGACAACGATCATAAATTCTAGCTTTGTTCTGATGGGGCTCCAGGTGACATGGTTGTGGATGCTGTACAGGTGTCTTTCATAGGATGGTTGTTTACCCTGGTGGCGAGTAGTTTAATGCCTAAGTGCCCCACTGGTGGTGACCATTCGACTTTCTCACAGGAAATTGGTTTGTGCTGGCAGATGACCAATGGTTCTTCTCTGCCTTGTTGTGTTTTTACTTTCTTTCTAACAAAGTGATCACTCTAGAAAACTCCTGAAAACAGGGCAGGTGTGCATGCTGGTCAGATAAGGCACCAATAAAACCGCACAACAAAACACAGGAAATAAGAGAAACAGTTTATGACAGAGAAAAGACAGGGCAGCGTATCTCCCATGGCCAGTGGAAAGAGCCACCCAGGACAAACTGATACCTGACCAGTGGTGGGGAGACCTTGGTTAGTGCTGTAAACACAGGTAGTCACTAGGATAAACCTTCCCAGGTCCCTGGGAACATGGGGTCACTACAGCAAGTATATTGTATCTGCTGTCACATGGAGAGTTGGTCACCAGAAGATGGGTGCAGAGGCCAGATATGTGGGTCAGAAACAGTTGGGGGTGCTGTGTCCTGCTTCTGCAATGCCAGTCTATCATACATTCAAAATGAATGGAGAGGAAATAGAATCGATGAAGAATTCACCAGTATATGTTTGGGTGTGTCCAGGTCAGGTCTTTAGTTGGTACTTAGGACTGTGCAGTCAGATTGGAAGATCCTAATCCATATTTTCATGGGGAAAACATTTAACAAGTGGACTGGGTGCCGTATGGTAATTCTATGTTGAATTTCCTGAGGAACCACCAGACCTTTTTCCATGACTTGGGTTTTTTTTTTTTAGCATTTGGGTAAGCAAGGCTTGAGGGACTCCAGTGCTTGGTGGTTTACCTTAATTTTCATGGTGATCCTAATGCGTGTGACATTAGAAGTCAATCTTGCCACCATTTGGATATATTCTCTGAGGAAATGAAATGTCCATTCAAACCCTTGGAGTTGTTTGGTCTGCTTATGTTTTTATCTGGCTTTGGTTTTTGAATCAAAAGGGTTGTGAATTCAAGATGTTCACCAGATACAAGATTTTCAAATATTTCCTTCCATTCTGATGCTCTTTTTTCACTCTGATCATGTCTTTTATGAAATAGAAGTGAGCATGTTTTATATTTCATGACACTAATTTTGACACTTTCTATTTTTTGTGAAAAGATTTCTCCTATAGCCTCTGAGTGCTTTGTAACACAATGCTGCAATTGACATATACATAAAGGAATAAGGAGGGAACTTCAATACCTTTGTAATCATTAGTTGGTGGTATCCATTTTGTTATAAAAATCACCTTTATCTTTAACCATGTGTTTTTAAGAATCTTCCTAACCACTACGACGAATGCGCCTTCTTTTTCTGGTTCCACGCTTCCATGATAGAGGGAAACAGGTAAGGCTATAATGTAATCCAATAGAAACTGTTTCACTCTCATGTCTGTTTCTAAGGTATATTGGCAAATCTTTTTGCCCACTGTCCTCAGTTCATTTTCTACAAACATAACTCCTGAGCAACCACCTCAAAGCCCCTACAATAGGACAATGTGTCACTTAAAATGCAGTTACTCTAACTGTAGGGATGATCAATTTCTCTCAGGCAAGTGCACATCTGCTCAGTTCCGGGAATATGGCAGGTCCTCTGAGGTGCCAATTGACTGGGACATGATTGGTATGATTGGCCTAGGGAGGCATTAGCTGGTTTCAAGCTGCTATTGGCATATTTCCATCTAGGACAGAAGTTTTAAGACCTGATAGGCATTAACAAGGCACAAAAGCCTTCATCAGATAGCCTCCCATAGAAATCCATTCTCTAACGATTGAATTGATTCATTATTGCCAAGAACCTACTACATTACCTAGAAACTCATTCCTGAACCTGCAAGTTCTCATCTTCTCAGGAGGATTTGTCCTGTGGTGATAAAAAAAAAAAACACTTTCAAGATCATTCAGATCAGAGATGAAGTGTCTGTCACTGTGTCCTCATCTATGTGTGAATGATACTACTTGTTACATCCAGCGTCACTCTGTTCTTCAAATCGACACTGGGCCTAATAATACTTCAAGTCTAGTAAGACAGCACCAAGAAAGTCTCACTTCTACAGATTTGCAACTCACAAACATTTTGACTTGGTAAAAAGTAAACTCTGCACTTATGGGAACTTTTTTTTTTAAACCAATTTCTCTAGTTGTATACAAAGTGTGTGAGGAGCTAAGACCTCAACAAAGATAGGGCCTTTACTTGTTGCTACCTGTCAAACTGCTTCTTGTTAAAGCATAACTTTGTCCTTTCTACCACCATGATCCCAGTACAGATTATAAGAACATTTGATCCAACTTTGGTATATGTTTCTGGAAAAACTGGTATCATTTCATACCTTGCTTTTGTAAAGCTGTTTCACAATGATGAGGTGGTTGTTTAGACAAAAATAGCAACTTCATCACATAAGGGAGATATAGCCGGACACCACTGGCTCAATGGCCAGTTATCCTAGCTATACAGGAGGCTGAGATCTGAGGATCATAGTATGAAGCTACCCTGGGCAGAAAAGTCTGTGAGACTCTCATCTCCCATGAGCCAGTGAAAAAGCCAGAAATGCAACTGGAGCTCAAGTGATAGAGGGCCAGCTTGAGCAGTAAAAGCCAAGTGAGACCACAAGGCCCACTAACCCCTACCCCCACTACCCACACAAAAGAAACAAAATAGTATTTAATTACTGGCTGTCATCATATGCCCAATGTATTTCGTGCTGGTAACTTTTTCAATTATAAACACTTCGTTTGCTCAAACCAGTGTCACTAATTCCTTAAGAGGCATGTTGTGACTGATATGTTCTTTCCTGAAGATTAACGTATTGTAGGTCATACCAAAGAGCTAGAATGGGCCAAGTAATGAAAACAAGTGGGGCTTAGATCCTGGTTGCAGCCAGCAAGTCTCTTTCTAAACAAGAGTGTTCTATTGAATGACTTTTCTGTAAGCCCTAAACTAAAACGTAACGCTTTTTCTTCCTATCCTTAGACTTTATTTAACAAGGAATGAGTTGGATAATCCTCATAACAAAAACAACTGGAGTATATATCGTCCCGATTTTGCTGTCGAAATTATCTTTGAAGAAGTATTTTCATAAGAAACCACCTCTATATGCCTCTATTAGTTTAAGTGTTGTACATATTAAATAAATTACGTATTGTTATCTGCCCATGTGTGTGTGTGTGTGCACGCATGCTTGCTCTGCAACTTGAACTCTGACCCTTAATTTCAGCTGATGCTCTACCACCTGAACCATGCTTCTACTTCCAGCATTTTGCTAGTTTATTCACGAAGACAGTCCGGAGTATCTTTCTTCCCTGGTTGGCACTGAACCGCTGGCCTCCAGACCTCAGCCCCCTGAGTAGCTTGGATTATAGGTATGAATGAGCAGGGCCCAGCTTCCCTGTTGTCTTTCTTGAAGTCATGCGCTTCACACTGTCACTGTCTACTATTGAGATCATTTGGGAACGCACCATATATAGGAACAGTGCGGAACAAGTTTTAAGAACTTTGAAACAGCTTATAGCTCTCTGAAATTTATGATGCTACCACTACGCGTGCACTCCTCTGTTTTTACACACCTAATTTTCTTTGCTCTGTTTTATGTTGGACATGTCTGATTTACGACCAGATTAACTGTGTGATTCACAAACAACCTCTTCACCTACATCAGATTAGCAGGAAAGTTTTAAAGCCAAAGGACAGAGATGGTTTACACCCTTTTTACTCAACCCCAACATGAGGCACTACACAAGGGCTTTATGTGACAAGCCTTCTTTGGTTACACATGACACAGACATGGGAGGGCAAAGGGATTTTGAGACACAAGAATACATCTCATTTACTTAAGCTTTTTCGTAATATCAGAAATCAATTCAAAGAAATATGGAGTCATCTAGATTCATTATGGGAAACTCGATCAACTCTGCTCGCAGCCAACTGCACACAGGCCTCAGAAACACTGTAAAGAACTAATGTATAAACAGTGCTTAGCCATGTGGACACATAGAGTCTTCATTACTTTCATTATAGTACAGATTGGCACTTTAAGTCCCTTCACAGGGCCACTATTTGAAGCCCATGATTCCCCTTGAAAACAGTTCTATGTTAATGTGACTGGAATGATATTCTTACTTGAATCGATTTGCTTTCATTAACATTGCTTCACCGGGGCACCTTCTAAGTCCCAATAACAACTAGGTGATTCCATCGCTGTGCAAACATCAGGATGGGTTTGCATAAATGACCTCGGCTATGGTGTCACAAGGCAATAAATCCCAGAGGACCACCATCGTGCACGGCCCCCCACTGACAGAAACCCATGTAAGCAAGCCACTTAATCCTGAAACCTCAGCACTGCAGAAAGTACACTCTATAAAGAATTCATGAGGATAATGGAACTACGTAGATAAGAGCAGCTGGCTGGCAGTCATGTAGGTCTCCATCAGAGCACTGCCGCACAGCCTGTTCAGCCTCTGTGCAACTTCCTCAATCCACAGCATAGGGCAGTGAAGATCTTTGGGGGAGGAACAAGAAAGGAAGCTGGTGAGAGCTAGCCTGCCTTGCAAAGACCACATGGCTGGGCCACAGCCTGCAATCCAGTCAAGACTGCAGACTCCATTCAGAATGCATCTACAAGATGAATCTTACTATTTTGAAGAGTACAAAATCTGGAGATAATCCGCAGGCCTACCACTCCAAGGGTTCAGACACAATCTCTGAAAAATCTAGATGCCTATTTTACTTCCATCATAAAAACAGTAACCTGTTAGTACATGGGTGAGTTCAGGAGAATTTGTAAAAAGGACCTTACTTCTAGAATTGGTAAAGCAATCATTTATAACCTTTTGCATGAAAAATGGTCACTTCCGGGTTTTCGGCCACTTTTTCTGTTTACAATGAGAACAATGAACCCGAGGTGTTTCTCTCGGTCCGTACCTATGCAAACTGCATGAGTTTATAACATACCTTGATTCAGAAATCACACCCTGTTAGAAGTGTATCTGGCCCTTCAGGTAGGTGGATCAGGCCACCATATACATTGTTTATTCCATCAAGGGCAACAAAATGTGGCAAGTTTTCTCTTGCAGTACAGTTGTTTGTACAAATTTTATTATGTAACATAGAGGTTCTTGCCAAAACTTTTAAGATTTAGGGCAGAAGAAGGGAGGACATAGACAAAATTCCTAAGAAATCAAGTTAATTCTACATTATTACTGTGCTCTGTAAAACCAGGAAATGAACAGTACTTCTCAAATGACTGTGCATGAATCTAGGCTCCCCTGAATTCCTCAGTGTGCTTCCGACTGACTCATCATCAATGTCCTTCTATATTCATAGGCCAAAATACAGTGAGCGATTGGCAGAGATTCCTTGAATCATAGTGGGCTTTGATCCAGAACATAACCTTATTCCTAGAAGACAAAAGACCCTGACATTCTCCTTCTCAGTGGGGATAGCTACACAGAGTAGAAAGATTTGTCCTTACAAATCCAGATAACAGCAGTACAAAACCCAACAAGTGATGGAAGAATTTACTTCCAGGGATCCTTAAGTCAACTAGCCAAAACAAGACAATATCAGACCTCCTGGAAAAGCTGATCCTTGCTCAGCTAGCAAACAGTTTCCATGCCTACTAAACTCCTAGGATATGGACTGACCAGTGCCAGAGCCTGACATGGCCAGAAAGAGGGAACTGTGTAGCCAGAGGTTACAGCCAGAGCACCAACAATGGAGGCAGGGCCATTTCTAGTATAATTGCTGCCCAGCTGGCTATGAGGATGAATTGGAGAAGGGAAGCATGCACACTCTGTAAAACTACAAATTGTATTGCAAATTTATCGATGTCAAGAGTTAGTAATAATACAAAGATGTTTGTGTGGTATTGTGGATATGAATTAAGCAACTTTGTCTCTGCTCTGTGCTTTCTTGAAATCAAAAAACAAAGGTTGCTAACCCAAGTGTTTGGGGGCAGGGGAGGGGTTGTGCTTTTTCTTTGTTTTTGCCAGTACTAGGAATTGAACTCAGTTCCTGGTTGCTATCTCAGAGCTTTTGTGCTAGAGGTTTGGAGCCACAGCTCCAATTCCAGGTTTTTGCTAGGGAAATGGAGATAAGATTCTCACAAACTTTCCTACCCAGACTGGCTTTGAACCACATGCCTCAGATCTCAGCCTCCTAAGCGATGATTACAGAGGTAATATAGATGTGCTGGGCCTTAACCTAAGGTTTTCAGTGGCTGTTAGAAGGATCATTTTTTTTCTCTGATTCCATAGGGTGGGCTTCTAACAAGCATCACTTAAAAGTCAACATCCTCCTGTCAAACTCTAACCATCAGTAGCAAGTCACCTTCAGAAGCTACTTGCTCATTTCTGACTACAGGAATGTCCTCAGTACGGATGTTTTATGCTCTTTAGAGCCGAGAGGACCCTTGAGAGAGATTCAGTACTTCCTCAGAGCAGGTGACGCTACCTTTAAGCCATGTACTTCTCTGGATGAAGTCCACATCTTCAAAAATCCTTTTAGGCTCCTTAGAACAAAGGGTCATACAAGGCACCTGGCCAACAGGTGAGGACTTAGTTGAGAAGAACAAAAACAAAATAACCAGTCAACTATGTGCACCTAGTGTGCTTCTGCACTCAGCACACTCACATTCAGGTTTCAAAACACTAAGAAAGCTTGCAACAAATCGGGCCTGAATGCACCTGAATTCGACATTTGATACAATCCACTAAGTAGTCAGCCAGTCATAGGCAAATTCCACCCATTTTACCACATAGCATGGAAGAACAGGACCTACAGGAGAGAAATGGCAAAAATTATTTTAGCTTAAGGGACATTTTCAGAGGTCAATGGAGCAATGACTGCAGGCAACCAAAACAGTAGTGCTGAAGAACATAATTCTTTGAGAAAACTGTTGAAGGACACAAGTTCAATGTAGAAGGTAGTTGGGGGTGTATCTTGGGCCTCACCAAGAAAAAAAAGGATTTCTTTATTCTGACTTCAAACACACACACACACACACACACACACACACACACACACACACACACAGTTACAACTCTAGAAGTTAGGTTCTATGTACAATTCATGTTGGTCAATGCCAGCCTTTACACTATTCTCTCCTTTCGTTCCCCTCCCATCCCTACCATCCTTACTTAAACTGCTACATTGAATATGTTGATGGAATTTGCTCACCCTAATACCCTCCTTTCCATTTATGTTCACACACATTTCTCTTCCTCCTCCCCCAAGTAAGTTTCAGCTTCCTGATACTCATTTTGTTGAATACTTTGTTATTACCTGACACTTTTTTAACTGAGATTTTAGCCTGTAATCCTAGCTATTTTGGAGCCTGAATCTGAGGACTAAGGATTGAAAAAGCGCTTGCAAACCCGTAACACTCTTACCTCCAACTCACCAGTAAAAACTTTGGAGTTTGGTTGTGGCTCTAGTGGTAGAGCACCACTGAGGGAATATATCAAGCAACAGCAAGCATCACATACACCCAACGAACACACACTAATACTTTAGATATCTCCACCCTATTCTATTCATAATCCTACCTAGGCAAATACAAATCCTGCCTCTTTCCAGACTATCCTTTAGGAAATACTGCAGCCTTTAATACTGCAGCATATAAGACAGCAATGCTACTAGCACCACAGTCATGTGGAAATCAGGTGTTTATCCACTTCACTCATTTCATATATAGTAAATACCTAACAGCCATGTGGTAGGTACATAACTTGGGCAAAACCAGAGAAAGCTTCCTGCCTCTGGAGCTGACATGATGTCTCTGTACTCAAGCCTGTGTGTCACCCTACACAGGACTACTTGTCCACTGTGCTCAGCTTGTGCTCCTCTAGCTGATGAGCTGGAGCCTCAGTTCAGAGAAGAAACAAAGCCATCTAACGGGAATGCTTTATCATCAAGCCATCAGTGCGACTTGTATTAGCACTCTTCTTTCCTCCCTTTTATTTGGAAAGAAATGATGTTACTGGGAGATTGACCTAGTCCTGTTCTTCATGTCAGCAGTTTCACTCTGGTTTTTTTTTTATGTTGCTTGTCTTCCAGAATTTGTGTGCATGTACTCTGGGA